AATATAAACATAAACCTTAGCAATCATTAAAACTGAATTTGAGGTGTTGCATTTCCTTCAAAATCTTCCTGTTATTTTCTTTGTTGCTACACTCACAGTTTTCCATGTGTGAAATACCTTTCTTTCTCTTGTTTTACAATCCTACCCTTTTATATAACAGGCACAATTTAGGCTGTCCTGTTGAAGGAAATGTATGTTTGTAATCTTTAATTTCTAATAATTTTAAGTACTAGTTCTTTTCAGTGAAGAAATAGCATGTTTCAGTGTATGTATGACTGAAATGTTTTCTGGAAGGGAGAGAAAGAGAGACTGTAAATCTTAAACAAAGCTCAAGTGGTAACAGTGGCAGAGTCCAAAAGGTGCATTTTTAGAAGTGAACCAGAACTGACATCTAGCTATATGTAACCTATATAACTCAAGACGTTGTCTGTCTGTCTAGGTTGTTCTACTAGTAAAACAATTGGTATCACTTGCAAAATTTGAATCCTGAAGGAGATCCACTTTTTCACTTTTTATTTGTGGCTTGGTGGCTGGATATAAGCTTAAATTACTTCCGTGCTTTTAGGAAAACTAGGCAGTTTTGCAAAAAAAGCCAATACCTTTAGAGGTTGTCCATGTATTTTGAAGTCTCTTCCTTTCTCGTGTATTGATCTTTCACTTGCTAGTTTGAGGATGTGCATTCTGATAGTTCTGTAGACTAGGTACCTGCATGGGTGATGCACCCTCTGTTTGCAAGGCTGAAACCAGGAATCATCCTCTACTGGAGTGCCCGTAAGAGACCAGATCATCCAAAACAGGGGATAGTGGTAATGTAGATGATGGGTGTCCCTGGCAGTTGGAGCCCTGGACACTTGCAGCGTATCTGCTGTAACCTACCTTTTCAAAACCAGAGGCACGGGTATCACCCCAGGCCTCTTTCTATAGGGAACAGGGAAAGTAACAAAGATATAGACTATTTACAAGCTGGTATATTAAGCGTTATTGTGCATTTGTTAGTAAGCTCAGTCCTCACACTAATCAAATATGATCCGAAGGCATTAGTTCTGACGTAGGCAAAATCCAAGTGGAGTGAGTTTATTTACACAGAGGTGCAAGGAACATGTAAGTGTGTACACAGAAAAATGACAGTTTTAACACCCAAAGTTGGGTCATTTTGCAAATGCAGCAGGCTGATATGCAAAGAAATTCAGGAAGCAAAGGCAAAGTAAGGTGAAACTGTCAGTGTGTCAATGAAGGCATTTGTCACACAGGTGGGCCTAGCAAAGTGCTACTTGTGGCTTCTGCTGTATTTTTTGAGCAAAGCGTAGAGACAGCTGTGCACTTCAGTGACCTATGATAAACCATTATCGGCTTGAATTTGTTCTCTGGTGACTGAACACCACAAAACTACTGTATAGATCTCACTTTACTTACCATTTCATGTGCAGCCTCTTCTGAATTACAGCATTTTGATTGCTCATGAAATAAGGAAAGGTGTTGAGGTGACAACTGAACCGGCGCACATATATATATATATATATATATATATAAAAGATATATATAAGATATAAATATATATATATTTACTTCAAGAACATGAAGAGATTTGTTTATGTATTTAGAAAAAAACATCAGTAACCGGTGTGGATTGATTTTAAATCCATTAATTAAAATAAGTAATTGGAATGTGTTTCATCTTCACAAGAAGAAACCTGATATAAATAATTGAGTTTAGTCCTGTGATGAATTTGTACTTTCTTGCCATTTTCCAAAGGAAATAACATTGAAAAAGTTGCTGATATCCAGCTAAGTGCATAATTTTGCATGATATTTGGTACTTTTGTGTACAAATAGGAGAGAGTGACTTTCTTTTTTCTGTGTGATTTATATGTTTCAATATGTTTGCTCTGATCTTGGTTTTCTAGGTCCGTACATAGGAAAATCATGTATTTTGAATTAGGTAGTTAACTTTCACTTAAGATATATTTAACCTCTGGTTTGTGTAGAACATTTTAATTAAATTAAAAAAACTTCATAATCCTTGCTTTTTGTTAGCTCTGCCCAATAAATTAAAAATATGGGTATATATTAAAAAGAGTTAACAAGACATCTTTTGAATACAGGTCCCTTTGCAAGCAGGGAAAGTATTCATCATTCAGTGAATCAAAAACTGTTTCTGATATGTATGGTCTTTTAGATATGCAGGGATGATAGTTGCTAGTACTGTTTTTTAATTGTTGGTTGAAGGAGGAAGATAACATTTCCTTATCCGTTTTAAATGATCAAGATGTTAATTTTGGTTTGTGTAGTTCATTTTGAAGACACAGTTTTCTCAGTAGCTGTAGAAGAGATGATTGATTCCAAAAGCTGCTTTTAACACTTCAATATCCACTGTTTTCAGGTCATCTTCTAATGATGAAATTCCATGAGACTTTTCAATTCAGTTTGCCTTGGTAGCAAACATGTACTGGCTGAACTTGACTTTATCATTCTTTTCAATTATTTTAATACTTTATGCTAAGCCTAGACCTCACTGTCTGTAGCTCTCATTTCAAAGGTAGTACTAGTTAGGTTTTCTAATTATACTTTGTTTTTTAAATGACATTTTATATCTTTTAATTGCTCTCTGTTTTGATAAACAACATGTAAAATGAAATTCTTTGAAGAAGAGTAACTGTGGCTTATTTTGAGAGTTGTATCAGAACTAGAGAATTGCATAATTAGGTGTGTTAGATTATTCATGTACATTTATTCAAAACAAGGCTTCAGATCAAATTAGTAACTGTGACAGAATAGACTAACACCAGTAAGTGACTGTTATGGAGACCTCAAAAGGCTTTTTAGCCTGTTTTGCACTGATGAGAAAAGTGTGAATATCAAGCTCCATTGCTGAATTTGAGCTGGATGTGACTCTTCCTCAACTATTTAAAAGCACTTTCTTTAACTCTCTTTTACCAAGTGTCCAGCCGAGCTAACCTGATACCTAGTTGTCTCCAAGAGAGGTCACCTCCCTCATATTTTTCCTCTGCTGATTGAAGCAGATTAACTGGTCAAAACAAACGAAAAATCCCCATTCCTACAGAAAAGCTTGTTGAGAAATCAAATGATAGCTAGTGCTGGTGAAGACAGTAAAGGAGTAATGGTCTTTCAGGTGACCATCAGCTGGTACAGTGCTTATCTGTGTTACAGAACAGCCTTCCCTACACGCACTTGTGCACGTTCTTCTTCCCTAAAGCACTAAGTGTAAACCTGATTAGTTAGTAAATCACAGTAAGTGTGTTCTGTAATGTCAGGTGTTAAATAGTTGGAGAGATGTGATCTAAATATTGCACAGAAATTGATTAATTCACAATTGTTGCCAAGATGTGTGAGGGAAATAAGAACTTCTTACACCTGTTTATTGCAAGGAGGGATATTGAATATGGGATGACAGTCTGATTAGAGGCAGTATTCTAATTTATTTCTTTGAAGAACATGTGCAAACATCAAGATCATAACAGTATTTCCGTGTTCTCACCCCTTTAATTCCTAGCTCTTTAAAATAAAATCCACCAAGGTGAAACAAGAAACAGCTGAGAGTAGAAGCTGAGGTTAATTTTAACTTGATTAGGCTGAGACAACTCACCATTCTGTCTACCATTAATGTAAGATTACTTTGCTTTCTGGTTAGGGATGAACAGAAACCTTTATTATATATTGAAAGAGTAAACTTATTCTGTGAAGACCTGTGTGGACTCTGAGCTGTGAAATGACAGGAATGCAGTATACCTCCATCTTGTAATGGTCCAGGGTTTGAAATAAAGGGCTTACCACTTAATGGCTTTCATGTGCAAGAGAAAGTACGTGCACAGGGAAAATCTAATGTCTGGCACCATACACCCAGAGATTTTTAATGTATGTGAAGGAGTTGCCTTCGTGATAAAAAGGGAGACGCGTGCATCCTGATGAAAAACGTGACTAGCAAAAGCTTCATTTGTTCACGCCCCCCTCCCCAGCAAATTGCCTGAAAGTGGATCATAAACAGCGATGCATTATTACTATTATCTCCCAGTGTGACTCACTGAGCCATGTATAGCAGCTCATCTTTTGAGGAGAATTCTTACTCAGAGCAAGTAGGATGTGGAAATAAATATTAAATGTCAGATTGTTATGTCACTGTTGCATTAGAATTTCTTTTGTGGCAGATAAAAATGTCTAAAAATTACTTGAACAGCAATGCCTGTCTGTATTAAGCAGGTATTGTCAGGTTAAAAATCCTCATTAGTGTTCTCCTGATTCGATGCTCTTATTTTCATAATACTTACCTCTCTTTTGGCAGCAAGAATGTGTTTGTTGATTTCACTAGCAAATTCTTGGATATTTCAATATTTGGTTTGCTGGTAATGCGAGGTAGCAGGTGGCTTTTGAAGCATGCTTTAGGCTTTTTTTGCTTTGTGTTCTTAAGAGCTCTCTCCCTTTGATTGCCTAATCATGCCCCAAATTAATTCTCTGTGATTTCTTTCTATTCTCTTTTAATTATAAAGAAACTGCTAGTGACGTCTAAGCATGGCTCATAACGTTAGTCCCTTTTAAGATTCTTCTGTTCTCCTTTTAGAAAGATTTGCTTCCTGGAATACTAACAGCATCCTCCCTCTGTATTTTACATTAATTTAGTACCTTGAAATTTAGACTTCTTTTCTTGCCAAGAAAGACTAGCCAAGGCTTTATTCAGGGCTTCGGTGATTGGTGCTGGACCAGCCTCTCTGTCCTTATCCCCAGACGACCTCTAGCCTGAGGATCCAGAGCTCAGTTTTTCTGGTGCTGTTACCAGTGTCACTTCTGTTCCATGTCCGCTTCTGTACTAAAGTACTGCATTGTTTGTTTATGTTGCATGTATGTTGACTCAGCTTTCACTTTAAAACAGCGCTCAAGACTTTTAAATATGCACTGGGAAATAAGGATCCTTTTTTGTGTTTGGTGATACTGATAACATATTAACAAAGCTGTGTTAGTAAAAGAAATATTCCTGTATTCTGTTACAGGTTTTGGGATTTGAAGTTGATACGGTGAACTCTGTGCAGTTTTCAAACCACACAGGTAAAATTTTACATGTGTCTTCAGATACCACTCCACAGTCGCTTGGCTCTGCCAAACATGTGGCTCACCTCATCACATGACAGTAGAAAGGAGACCAGTCTTATGGTTTCACTCACATTTTCAGAATATAGGACAGAAATGTAATTTTCATGTTTTGATCCAAGTTGCACAGAAATCTGGATTTGGGATTAGGGCATAATATGACATGGTAATGTCCTATTCTGCTACTTCAGAGTGTGAGTTTCTTTTGTTATGTAGTAATCTCATTAACTCAGACAGTGAAATAACGCAAATATGGCCATCTGTGCAGGCAGGGGTGTGAACAGGGGAGTCTTCAGTACTGTTTCCTGTGTGTTATGGCCTTGTGACACTTATAGTCATATTACCAACCCGAGCATCAGAAGAATAATGAGCTAGACACAGTGTTTCCTCTGTTTATGTGCCCACTCAGATGGCTAGCAAGTATCCTAAACTTACATTCTGGAGGGAGGGAGTGGGGTGTTAATACATTTGGGTATATGTTCACTTGGGTTCTAAGTCTGAACATGATACACTCACATAATACTTTCAGACTTTCTAACACTCATAGTTCTAGAGGACTTTATTTTTCAAAAGAAAGCTGAAATTTATGTTTGTGTTAGCAATGTCTTTCACCCATAAAGGAGCTCCAAGCCACTTGCTATTTTTAGATCAATAGACACGCATCTGCTGTCATGGTGGTGGCAGGTTGTTTGAGGGGACATCTACTCTAGAGAAGGAAATTGTAAGGGTGTCTTTAAAAAGGAATCCAGGAACAAATTCTGGAAAAGAAAAACATTTTTTTCTGAGAAAGGGAAAAAAAAAAAGTAGGCAAAAGTTGAGATACTTTCCTAGTATCTCACAGGTACAGCTCTATTAATAAACTGCTAATTTTTGGAACAGAGAGCAGACCAGGAATCCTCTGTCCTCTCTTACTATGTTGAGCTCCACGCAGCTTTCAGAAGGTTGTAAGATGTTCCTATCATGCAAGGAATTTAGTGTCACCCTGGGAAGAAGAAAGGAATGTTTCAAAGGTAGTTAGAAAACTGTCTCTGCTTGTTGAGGGAAGGCATGGTAGAGATAATAATTAAACAAGGATTGGGGGGTCTTTCCTGGCTCAGGCAAAAGGCTGCATATTTTGTACCCTTTGGCACAGTACAAAGGTTCTCTTGTGTTTTTAAGAGATACTTAGATGTGACTTATGTTTCTTTAATGTATTTAGTTTTGGAGTTTGGGATTTTTTGTTGGTTTTGATAGCTGGGTAAAACTGTTGTAATCCTCCAGAAATGAAGCAATTTTTTCTTTTGAAATAACTCAGTACTCAAAATGGATGAGCACTTGTCATTTGTTGGCTTTCAGTTTCAAGATTAAATCAGCTTTACAGGGCGTTAAAAGAGCTTAATAGAAGTTTTATTGGACCATAAACTGAATGTGTCTGAAAGTAGGAAAATTACATTACCAATCGGATGACCAAGTTCTTAAAACAGGAAAAAAAGAGTTGGTTTTTTTTTTTTTTAATAGTATCACAACTGGAGAAAGTTTACCAGTGCTTCGTTCAAGGTTTGTCAGACAATGAAGATAGTAGAAGAAACAACAAAGTAGTGATTATTTACCCCACCCCTCCCCAAAGGCCTAAATGAACATCCTAAAACCAAAAATGTCTCAAAGATCACAAGTTGTTAAAATATTTGGAACTTTTATTTCGTCTCCTGGTGTTTAGCAGTCACATTATTATTTTTTTTCTGTAGTTTTGATTGTCTTAGTAAATGTGTTAAAAATCCCAAAAGATTGCTGCACAACCTCATGGCTTTGGGAAGCAGAGCTTTCATTAAAAATCACAATAATGTGTTTGGCACTTGCTAAGCATGTGCGAAAGGAGATTATATTTAGAAGTATTGGTCATTTGGCTGAAAGAGGAAGGAATGAAAGAAAGGAAGGGCACATATCACCTTTTATGGCAGGTCTAGTTTTCTAACACTGCAGTTTTTCCATTAAATCCTTTCTACCCTTTCTTAGATTGAGGGATCCATTCTAAGACCAGTGGCTTTGCACCTCCTCGTTGAGAGAGGCATGTAAGAACATGTGGTATCCTCACACAAAGAGTTTTCCAAGCTTAAACATTGACGCATGCCTGCACACCAACTTGCACTAGTACCTGGAAATCAGTGTACCACTGCAGGGGTTAATGAACAGAAACTGCCACGCTGGGCTGTGGCTTGTGTCTGGAGCAGTGCTGCAATACACAGGAATTGTGTGCTGGATGAATGGGTGAAGGTAACTTGATTTTCCTACAAGAACAAGATTTTGAGAACCCTTTTTATGGTCATCATTAAAGCTGAAGGACTAATTTCTGCTTCAAAGTCTAGCTGTAAACTTTAGTTTCTAAAAGAATGCCACATACCAGAGGGGCACAGGTAGCAAAGTGTATGAGGTTTTGCACATGACGTTCTTTCCTTCCTCATCCCTGTCTTTAAACCTGACCCTGTCAGCAAAAGATAAAACGCAGAGAGAATTTATGACTGACAGCTGTTCTTTGTTGGATCATTATTGCAACTTTTTGCCCTGTCTTTAAATTAGTAAAATACCAGGGGCCTATTTCTGCTGACTTCTGCTCAGAAAATTCAGCTTTCATTAGTCTCTGATAATCCTGAAATTTGGAAAATGTGCTTTAAATCATTCCCCTTGGGAGAACAATTTGTCATGTTGCTTGGTGAGGAACTTTTATGATTAGAGTGACTCACCCTTGAATGGCATCATGCTTCATGTACAAATAAAAGAAGCTGTCATGTAACCTACAAAGATTATGTGCTTTTTATGCTATTTTACTGTATTGTTTGCAGAAGCATCTAATTGTCTGATATTCAAAAATAAAAATTAGATTTTTTTTTAATTGTATCAAGGTTTTTTTAGGGTGCATTTTTAACTCTTCAGTGATTTGCATTTTTGTTTTTAATTGGTAGGTTAATGGTAAGCATGTAATGTGCTTACTTTGCCATCCAAATCCTACCTTTGAAACTGCTCCAGCAAAAATAGTCTGTTTTTTTTCTGTTCCTTTTTATTTTTAAGCAAAGCACTTTTGACATCCACTTAGTGGGTGTGTAGTGGGTGGCTGGGTTGTCTGGTAGGTCTAATACATGAGAAATTATAACTATGTCTCATTGATGTGATTCTTCACAGTCTGCTGCCCATATGCAGTCATTCACACCTATGCAGTGCAGGACAAAAAGAAAAGATCTCCACTCGTGCCTAACACTGGTAGTATTTTACTCCCACACTGACCAGCTGTAAAAAATCTAGTGGAGAACTTGGTACTGTATTTCTAGTTTTGTTGATGGCCTCCTGGTAGCTCAAGATTAAGACGTGTTTAGACCAGGCTGTCTGCCAGAGTTTGCATGTGAATTTTGTGACACAGATGCAGTGAGATTGCCTGCCATCATGTGCTTTAAACACTAGATCTTCCTTCCTTTTTCCCATGTAAAATATTTGGTTACTGAAGCAGCTTGCCATAGTTTTGCAGGGAGCACCACAGGAGGAACTCAAACCTCAGAACAGAATGTTCTGTGTTGGAAAACAAAGAAATCTTACATGTCTTGCTGTGCTTAAGTGGTAGTTTGTTTTTTGTTTTGTGGTTTTTTTCTTCTTGTGGTATGCCTGGGATTTTTATTCTTTTATTTTTTCCATGTTTTTGAAAGTAATTAAAAGGCTTATAAATACATCCCAAAGGAGGAAGGCAAGAAAGAAAAGTGTGTAAATTCATCTTGGGTGCAGTATCTCTTGGTTGTGGTTTTGGATTTTTTTCTTTTTCATACAGATGAACCAAGACACTTCCTTGGAGACTAATGAATATGTTTATTATTTTAGAGGGATAAGTGACAAGAGGCATCATATCTTACCTGTTTTTCATTCCCTTATCTGCTAATATGTAAACCCTATTTGCAATAAAAGGCCATAACACAGATAAGCAGAAGTGATATAAAGATGTTTAAATGTTTATGTTCATCTGTGTGTTTAAAATTATTACTAATATTGGAGACTAATGCACTCAGTCTGAGCCAAGTGCTGTTTTGGAGAGCTGCATCATGCAGTGTTCTCTCTGCAAGGAAGACTCAGCTTTCTTCCTCTGTGGAGGATACAAACCAAGATCTCATCTTAATATCCAAGATAAAAGAGTAATAATTTGATACAGCTGCTATGCCTAACCAGCTCTGTAGTTTTCAAATGGGATGCAGTTGTTTTGCCAAGTACAAACTTGAAACTCATTCTTTAATTTTCTTGGCTGTGGTTCTTGTATGATGTGTGCAAATATCCAGGTACTGTGAGTCTTCGAATTTCTGTATTGTTGAGTGCCATGGTGGAAATACTACTGCAGAGTAGGAGTTACTGTAAGTAGACAGTTAAACAGAAGATTTGAAGTTTTTTCTTGCTGTTTTTCAGATACTCATATTTAGTGTTGTAAGGCATAGGGATAACATTTCTAGAAGCTGACTTTCTTTTAGGACTTGAAAGGCAGCTCTGGGCCTTTGAAATCTGCTCATGGCCAGCCAAGTTCTTATGCCTAGCCAAGGAAGACAGCAATTCCATGTTATCATCCTTGACTCCAACCATTTGTGCTTTTCCCTAAAGCCAGTTGGACCTCACATGTTTAAGCTTGCTGTTGGCACTCCCTGCTAATTAGCTTTGGGATGAGGGCTGATGCAGTGGTGTTTTGACCACACAGTATCTATCTGGATTTTTTGTCTTTCCCCTTTCAGAATAGTCCCTCTCCCTCTTCCTGGGACCCCAAAGTACCCATCCTTCAGTTAGTGAAACCACTTTTGAACATAAGTAACTGGCTTTTTCTTCTGTCCCTCTACAGAAGCTGCTTTTTGGTTGTATATTCCACCAGAAGAGTAGGATAAATGCAGAGTTGTGGGATTTGTTCCTTGTTCGTCATGTTACATGAAGTTACCCTGGGGAAAGGCCTTAAGGTGGTTTCCATCTTCCTGCCAGTTTTGATTTTGTTTGTTTCTTCTTACTCGAACATAATTCACCTCCAAGTGAAATCACAGTTCTCTGCAGATCCAGTGAAAGCATTGCTCTTTTTCTTCTGTCTGAATAGCTGGGGCTTCCCTGAGAGCTTCCCTGGGGCTTCTTTTTCCTCCAGCTGTTGTGTGATTAGACTTTAGGTGGTATTGCATGTGTTACCAGGTAGCAAAAAGGATCCTCTAGATACCCTTGGAAGTCATTGCTACAGAGTTCAGACAATGTCCCTGCCCCATGTGGGTAATTTACCAATTCCTGAGCTAGGCTGGGCTGCTACCTAACATTTTGTTTCCATACTTCTTTCCCTCCCTCAGTGGAGGATCAGTGTGACACAGACCCTGTGCATTGACTGCTCAAGACAGCTTGACACAGGAAGGTGAACTTTTAGTTAAATAGAGAATGTGTAGGGTCCCTCTGTAGGAATGGCTCCCGACACTATCTACATCGGACAATCGATTATAGTTATTTTTATAGCAATGTATGAGATGAATGACTGCTCTTTTGCCACCTGACCTTGATTCTGGGTGAAAACCGTACTCGGTTTCACTGATAGGCACAATGGAATAAAAAGGGCTCTATTGTGTCCCTGTATGGACTGGCTTTGCAGTGCTAATAGAAGTAGAGATTTGGGGAAGAGGAGTAGGCAGATTACTTCTCTCTGAAGCTGCAGGTGTGACAGAACAAACATCTGCATGCGTTAAATAAGCTGAATACATGTAGTCAAGGATTCCTCATAAATAAGCGGAGTTACTTGTAGTCAGGAGTTCCTCATACACTTGGAGCTAGACGTGTGCCCAGGTGTTAGGTGTTACCATTTTGAATATCACTATGTTCTGCAATGAAACTACAGCCCTAACATACGGGAATCCCTCACTTTGTCCATTTCTTCACAGAGACTTTTAAAAAAGCTTTTGCTCCGGAAAGAATTGTAGTGGCTGATGTGAGTCAGTCCCCCAGCCAGCTGGCAGTGAGTCGTGTTTTAGAGGCTAGGCCTTTGTGAGCTGAGGAGAACAAAATGATCCATCTGCTCATCCTACTGTGGGAGTATTTGCATTCATAAGAAGGAAAACTGCAAGATTTGCTTATCCTAGGCTCTAGGCACCTTTTGGCAGTTACTCTAATAACACAGTTTAGAGTGGTAATCAAAGCCAACAGTTTTTATCACAGAATTCTCTAACTCCAAAAGGAGTCAAAACAAACAAAATACCATTGTCTTCAAACAGGGGTGATGTGGAAGAAGATACCTCATTTAACATTTCACTTTTCCTAATTCCAGCTAATAAAAAGATAAGCTTTTCAACAAACTGAATTCATGGAGGTTGGAAGAGTTAAATCATGTGTGCTTCATCTAATATCCTGGAGGAAGCTCCCTTCTTACATGCAATGGACTGATGGCTGCCAACTAGATGGGCAGGCATTGATGACAAGGTGCAAGGTGCATTTACATTTTTGAACAAATGTTTTGAGTCTGTCAAGGGAGATTTTATTTTTTTCCCTTGAAATTGGCTGCCATGGAGCCTGGTCCATTGTTAGCTGAAATCAGTTCAGCTTCTCCCAAGTAACTTCACCTTCTATCTGTTTCTCAGCCAAGGATATTGACTTGTAATTCTTAGAGAACATTCATGAATAGGAGTGTATGGATATTATTTGCCTGTTTATAGTGTCTTTCTGATACTCATTTGCCTCAGCATTAAAACTGTGATATTTTTGGAAGAAAATCTGTCAGATGACATTGTATGTTCAAAGAGCATCTATGACAGTGTTCTACTGTAGTCACTCTATTACATGCAGGTCCTAGTGAACGCTGTATCTGATGGGTGCAGCAGTGCTGCATGCCTGTGTCCAGACATATTCACAAGCGTGTTTAAGCTTGTCATCTAGCTGTCAATCATTTTATTTTTCTTTTTTTTTATAGCATAAAATAACAAAAATAGATTATACTGACACCTCCACCAGTGAAGTCTCAAGCATACATTTGTCCCCCTCCACACAGGAAAGGGATAGTTGTATAGGCTCCATGGGAAAACTTGCAGGTGCTTGTGTGTGCTCTGCTCAATTTGCTGATAAATGGACTGTTTCAAACTCCTGTGTAGTCACTCTAGTTCTTTTGGGAAACAGAGGTGCTAAGAAGTTGAGCACGTTAACTCTTCTGCTGACAGCAGCTTTCATTCAGTAACAGCATTTTACAGAAGAGGAGGTGAAAATGCTTACTGGTGCTAATATCTAATATAGTCCCTCCCAGTGTATAATCTGTGTGATCCTAAATTGAAAATCTAGCTCTCAAAAAATTATCCGGTCTTTACTTTGCAGGTTATGCCCACTGGAAGGGTCAGGTGTTAAATTCAGATGAACTTCATGAACTGTATGAAGGACTTAAGCTGAACAAGGTCAACCGGTATGATTATGTACTCACAGGTAAGAAGAGCTCATTCCTTGGAGTTCCCATGAGATGTAAACAAAAATAAAGAAATATAAACCATATTCCTCTTTATTCCAAACTAAGCAATTATATTTTCCCTCGTTTGATTCCTCCTGCAATATCATCTGTATATATAGTTTCAACTGCTCATGCTGTTTAGTTTGAAACGACCAGTGCTCTCCAGCCTGAAGGTTGTAATTGGGTGTGTAAATTGATCCACTTGTACAGTTTACAGACTTGTACAGGCTTAATTAATGTTTTGGGAGTGCCTCTACTGAAGAAACGATAAGGAATGTCAGAGTATTATTTTAAAATTTATTATGAAGACATGAGTTTAATCCTTTCTCCTAAATTTGCAGTATTGGCACTCTGCAGTACTGTAGTATGATTTTATATACAGTTGTCTGTCCTTGTTTTTTCTACTTGATCTTTAAGGGGTAGTGCTTTGGATACAGACCAAGAATGAGCAGGGTTGGATTTTGGTTTTGACTCTGTCATATCTTGATTTTTTGCTCCCTTGTTACTATGTAGGTCCTCTGAGTGGATACAGTACTGCAGGACATAAGGATTGTGCAGTGTTTCCCTTTGCTTGCCACTAGGTGCAAAATATTGATGAATATGAGCAAAGAGAACTTCTTGTAGCATGCTTTATAGAAAAGAGAGATTCTATGTGAAGTTTTTATTAAAAACTTGTTCTCATCCAATTCCTGGTGCTCAAATGTAGATTACCAGTCGGGTTTCACCTCAGTAAGAGCTATGCATCCGGTTTAGATTAACAGTATCAATTTTTTATAGCAGTGAACAGTCACTTTTTAAAGGTAAACAGAAATACATTGCCAGATTTGATTGATTTTATGGCTTCCACATGTAGGAAAGTGCTTTATACACAGGGAAAACTGGAGACTTGTGTATGGATTATAACCCCAAAGCAGTCATTCTGGTTTGAAAGGTGTGGCATGTCTGAAGAGTTGCTGTCAGTTCTTTTTCAGGGAATATTTCCGAAGTAAAGGAAACTAAGTAGAAAACAGACTGAACTAAGGTTAAGCAATGAATTTCAGCATAAATGGGTTCTTTGTGATTGAGAAATAGACAAACGCCCTTTCTTTCCTTGAAAGAATTCACACAAAGGACGTTTCCAGGAAAAACAAACTGTATTGTAGAAGTTTTCAGAAGATGTTAGTATGCAAATTTGTAAATAATGTTTGAGTATTCTTTTAGCTGAAATGTTCCTTTTTTATTTTACTTTTGACTTTTGGAAGAGACCCCAACTCCTTTCCTATCACAGCCTTGCACTGACAAAACAGATGTAAGAGATTAAAAATGGTAGGAGGAAAAATAGAAGTCTTCAGCAAAAATAAATTTTGGAGAAAAAAATGAATATTTATTAATATGCATTCAAAAATAGGATTTGTGGGTAGATAAGTCAGTGTATTGTTCATGTTTGTTTAAAAATCTTGTTCAGTGTAGCCATTTTCAGTATAGACAAAAAGAAGGCATGGGTAGAAACGGCACTAATTTCTTAAAATCTGGTTACATTCTCAGTGTTTTAATGTTCAGTTGTGCTGTAGCTGAACTTAAAATTCAGGTTTTTTCATTCAGGACCAAAAGACCAATTTTTCTCTTCAAACAGAAACAGCCACTCACTATAGTGCACAACTGTACTTTATACCTCCAACAACCTGGATAAGATTATTCAAACACTGAGAACAAATTAATTTGTCATCAGATGGGACTTGACTGTAATTGTATGTCTGATGACTGTAGATATCTTGTCTGAGATGGAAATTATTATCTTTAGGCTGATTATACAAAATAACGCTTTGTTAACTTTTGAGACTTAGTTATTTGTAGATCTTCATATATTTGTTTCATTTACAGTAAAACACTCAAGAGATGAACTCCAATTCAGTGTAATTTTTTTGAAACACCAATGATGTTAATCATAATCTGTATTTTTTTTCAGCCAGTCTAACATCAAAGGTCATTTCAAACAAAAATCTTTGCTTGGCTTTTTTGACTGATTATCAGCATTTTACATACATAAGACAAAGCATTTTGGCCAAAGATATTGGAAGCTTTTTCCATTTCTCTGCAACATCTAAGAATTAAGCAATTTTGCAAGTTAAGAAAAAAAATCTCCAAAATGTATTTTTAAATATTTCAGTAGAGTGGACATTTCCAAGCAAAAGATTTGAAGAAGCTACCTTGCTAAAAGTAATACTATTAAATGAACTAAAAGAAATGCAAATCAAATTATTAATTAATAAATGTTGTAAATAAAGTTAATACGTGAAATCAATATATAAAGAAACATCTATAAAATAAATAAATTAATGATTAAATAAGAATATTGTGGTACTAGCATTGTGATTAGGACCTTGAGTTATAATAAAACTTATTCCCAGCTTAATTCACTGTTAAGCCTAAAAATAGGAATTTTATTGGTATATTGGAAGTTGTTCAAAAATATTCAAGATTAATTCTCAATTACATATTGTGTTGGACTGTGTCAGCACCAACAAACATTAATAAAAATCCTGCTTCAAACCAGAGTATGAGAAAAGGATATGGAATTTAAAATATTTCTTATTTACTACATGATAAATAGTACTGATTCAGACTGCTGTTCTGAAGAAAAGGAATGCTTTTTCCTCTCAGCCTGACCATTTTGTATATATGTTCAAGCATTTTGAAGTTGTATGAGTCGTTCATATATAACATACTTAGTAATTGGATTTTTAAGGTTATATTTTTTGTTGTGCAAGCACTGTCTGAATCTGTCTTCCACCTATTATTCCTGAATGAAATACTAAAATGCCTTTGTTCTAAAAATGCATTGGTCCAAAGAATGAGAAGTATGCAGCATTCCTATCAAAACAAAAAAAAGGCAAAAAAAAAAAAAAAGCATTCATGAAAATAGACTTCAAAAGTGTCTTTTTTTCCCAAAGGGTATACAAGAGACACATCATTTCTTGCAATGGTGGTGGATATTGTCCAGGAGTTGAAGCAACAGAATTCTAACCTAGTATATGGTAAGGATGTGTATTATAATCCTTTCTGCTTCACCATTGTATATGCCCAACATTTTCACGTTCTAGAATAAAAGCGCTGCTGTGATGTTACCCAGCATTTCACAACCACCTTGTGCTCTGAGATCAGCTGAGGCTCCAGTGAAGTTTCAGTTCAGCATTACTTAAGTGTCAAGGGAGTTGTTTTTTCACCTCTCTGATTTTGTGCTTTTCAGTATGTTTCTTGCCTTATGCCATCCAAAGGAGAATGTGCCTTGAGGACTGGTTGTCTGTATTGGCTTGTAAAATCTCAGCTGGCTGCTGCTGTTGTTCGCAGTTCAGAGGCATAGGCTGTAAGTGCTGATAGCTGAAGCCTCTCCATGATTTCCAAGTCAGTCAAAAGCAGGACAGACTCTCCAATGTTGCCCTGCCATGATTTTGTGTTACATCCCAGTTGAAGTGTCTTACTGTGCCTTATAAGCTTTATAATTTAGCTTAAACTCCAAGGGTTTTTTAACTCTGGTGCCCTCTGCTAAGATTACCTAGGAACATTCAAAGAGGAACAGACTCTAGCAACTGCTGTCATTAACGTATTATGTCAGGCTTAAACCTGTGAGAAAAGATTCTCCTCTTTCCTTCCTGACTGTCTGTGTTTCGGGACTTTTGAACATAACCAGTATAGGCTTGAATTGAGCAAAACATTTAGAGTGACAGGGCAAAATCAGTGGGGATTTAGTGGGATAAAAAGCTGTGAATGATGGTTTGAGCCTGTCATCTTCAGGTTCAGTAAACTGTGTGGTCAGGAAACATCTGGAATGGTTCACAGGATTTGCAAGGTGTAATACTGCAGAGTGTGCTATCTGACTTAAAATTAACAAAGCACAGTTCTCATTTGGAAAAATACAGCAGAGATGTCTTCATGAGCTTGGGATTTGTTGCTTTTTAGCCTTTATTAACACTGTTGCATTGTCAGGTTTTCCAGAGCCTTGTACTAGTAGGTGAAAGCTAAAAACTGTTGGAGTATGAGCAGAAAGAGACATCTAGCTTTACAGAACAGGAAGGAAGTGGTGAGATGGTAATAACATAGCTAGTCTTCTAAGATCCTTTATATTTAATCAATAGATTATAATCTAAGGAAAATACTTTTAATTTACAGAACAAATTACCCTTTTTTTTACTCATAGAAACTTCCTTAAACACTGATTGGTCATTGATTTGATACCTTTGGATTTATATTTCTTTTTTATCTTGCTAAAAGCTCTTTTAATACAATGAACAATGTTCCTTTTTAAAGTATAAGGCTATGCTGTTTCCATCCTCGCTTTGAAACTGAGAGCACTTGGAATATGTTGTTAATACTGATGATGATTCAGAACCTGTGCCAAATGTGTGTTAGTATTACACCAAGTATGAGTTTATGTACTTTGGCATGGATTTTCTTCTTGTTTCATTATAATACACATAATTTTTTGTGTGTGTGTGTGTATGTTTGGCATGTATCTTTTTACACTAAAGTAAAAATAGGACTCTTTTCACAGCTATTAGCTTCTCCCATGTTTCCTCCCCACCATAATACTATTCCAGCATTTTGATTTGGGCAATGAAAGGGAGGGCTCTCTGTGTTTTCCATAACAAAAGCCGTTTTACTCCCAGCAGTCAGACCCTCTCATCCTCATCATCGTCAGACATAACAATATGGAAGTGGGTAGGAGAGGGTGACTACAACCCTCTGACAATTGCTTAAAACACATGGCCTACTCTTTCAGAATTAGCAGCCACCAGTTACAAATTTCAGGTTGAGTGTGCTGCAAGAGCTGTAAGAGTATATAAGCTATCAGGTGCTCAGTGCTGTCACAAAGCCACTTCTGTTATCTAAAACTTCTCCCTCCCACCAGGGTCTCTGTAACAGTACCCCATTTCTAAAGCTAGATTTATTTTGTTTCAGTGTGCGATCCAGTGATGGGTGACAAATGGAATGGAGAAGGCTCTATGGTTAGTACTTACCCGTCTTGATTCTCTGTATAGTGAATATTTGCTATATAAACATGTATAAAGATTAATTTTTAAACACCAAAACTAAGCTACTTTACCTAAGTGTGGCTTTGTATCCCAGCATCAAGTAAGTTTGTACTTTAATTTCCTATATTTGAGTGAGTTTAGTATCTGGGAGGAATGATGACTGCATAGCCCTGGGATTATTTCTAAATCTCTGCTGAGACAACAGGTGGACTACAGACCCTGTCTGCAGGAAAATATCCCCCTGCTCCCCCTCCTTGTCTTGCTGGAGTTCCTTCATCGTCTGTCAAGAGTTCTGTTTTGCCTGGTGGCCTGGCTGGCATTGTCAGTGATGGTGTGAATTGACATACCACTTGAACCTAAACAAAGATGACTTATTTCATGTGATATCCAACAGCTGTTAGGCATTGGATCAGTGACAGAAAGGTTCTGTGTGCCAATACCAGACTGCATACTGAGAAAAAAACACTCCTTTTTGATCAAAACTAGCAAATAATTTCAGTAAAAATGCAAAGTGGGAAGACATCTGCAATAGTATGAATTTTTGTTTTCTTCTGCCTTAGCTAGTCATGCACTATGAATTCCTCTTTGTCCTTGTAACTTATTACAGCTTACCTGCTCGTAAAACATTAGATGAAGTGGCACTCAGTAATAAATTTGACATTGCTTTTACGTTCTATTCTTTCATTTTATGTCTATTGCAATATTTATTGTCCTTGGCTTTTTCTAACAAGACAGAGATCTAGCAGCTCTAGACTCACCTTGCAAAAGTTCAGCTCTTGGGAGAAGTCATAACCACGGGCCTATCTGTGTCTTTTGGGTGGAAGATAAGGTAGATGGAACAAGAGAGTATTTAACACGCAACCCACCAGCTCATTCCTGCCATAAGAAGTAATAAAATCATTATTTCAAATGCCTTGGTTTAGACGTGACCTAGTCTGGCATTTCTGTCTGAAGGCAGTGTCCCTGTGGCATCATCGCTTCACAGTGGCTGCATGAGTGAGCTCAGGATCAGTACGACGGGTGTCGTGGTAGCACCAGTGGTCAGCACTGGGGTGGGGTTGTACCTCTTACTGGTACAATTGGAATGGGAGACAGTAACACGTGGGCACACAGTTACGGGCACCCTGCTCTGCATAGTTTATGAGACTAACAGAGAAAATAAAACATGGACAAAGCGGGTATTAGTCCTGATTTAGCAAATGGGGTTCTGCCAAAGGATATCGGCTACTAGTAAACAATGAACTTTTATTGAAGATTTTGTTGAGTTACAGCAGGACTTGGGAAGGTGAGGTGACTCCTGTACCCATCTAACCTGCACTTCTAGCTGAGCTCCAGTGTGTGTCAGAACAGCTGATGCTTCTCAGCTTTGAGTCTGAAGAACATACAAACTGGTGGGCTCCTGCTACGTCTTAGCGTGTGTCGCCTGCTTAGACAACCAATCTCCCTTTGCTGATGGGCCATAATTTAGCTAATGAAGATGGGATAGAGACGGAACAGACAGCCAGAAAGGGAAGCATTGCCCCTTATTACTTGAAGAGCTGATTCTGCAGGCAGCAAACTATGCTCATGTTTTGTTAGACTTGGGTGCAACACAAGCAAAATATTTTTAGTGTCATCGGAACTGCTTTATAGATTAAGTTGTACTGAGCAAATTACAAATCTGATTTCTCTTCACACATTGATGTACAGCATACCCTAGAAATGCTGCACTGAAAGGAGGAGTCAAAATAACACATAGCATGGATGTTACTTGTTCCTAAGCCCCACAGTGCAACACAATCAATATGGGCACAGGCTGCTGGAACAAAAGGCCTCTGTACTGACGGTACAACAACACAGTAATTTCTTTTGGAGGCAGGGACATGAGAAAAGCTTCCCCATGTTGGGACACTGTATTTCCTCATGCTGCTGTGTCACCTTGGTGAGAGGGAACCCCAAAGTTTGTCATCCAGTCACTGCTTCCTTTTAATGCTGCCAGTTTAATCCTGTGTGCTCAGCGGTGCTTCCCATCCCCTCCAGTGAAGGAAGGGCTGCTGGGTGCACTGTCAGCAGCTGGAGGATGCACTGATGCTTTAGTTACTGCTGCGTAACAGTACACCAGGAGCTGTCAGGTTACTCGGGAACAGCATGAAAGGTAATTGAGGGAAGGAGAGAGTTGCAGTCCCACATTTCAGATGATACTGACAACATTTGGTACTGTTTCTTCTCTCCTAGTATGTGCCCAAGAATCTCCTCCCAGTCTACAGGGACAAAGTTGTACCTGTTGCTGATATAATTACTCCTAACCAGTTTGAAGCTGAGTAAGTACTTATTTCCTTTTATAGCCAAATAAACTTGGGGATAAAAGCAGGGGAGACTGATACCCATTCTTTTGTTTGTCTCAATACAGTGCCATATGTATACATGTGCTGGGTTTTGGTTTTTAGCTGTTACTTTCAAGAAGTGCTTTTCAGCAAACCTCCAACTGTTCCATACTGAAACCAATAAAAAATCTGGGAGTCATGTGAGGAGATTTCTCTTGTTTTTTCCAGTCTCTCAGTTTCGTGATTATTTCTTGTTATCTCCAGAGGCCTGTATCAAGGGCAGATTGAAAAAATACCTCTCTTCCCTTTCCTGCCCTTACCCATTCCTAGGAAGTTTTTTATTATATGTCAGAATATCAAAACTGAAATAGTTTGACTCAAACCTCCAAAATCAGATTCAGAAATACCACCATGGCAACATGTCATAGGAGTTAAGAATTTAAATGCCTCCTGCCTGTCCTGTCTACACAGCTGTGACTAGTAGGTCAGGAGATTATCTGTTGTGATACATCACAGGCTGTTCCCCTAAGGGGAGGGAGCAGCTACGTGGGAGATGGGGAGAAGACACTTGTGAGGGAGTTTTATGATACAGGGATCTCTACAGGAGGAAGGTTAGGACTGGTGTGAGTCTGCTTCAGAAGCACTGTGTATCTGCGGCTGTAACTTTTAAAGACGGCGGTCTGGTACAGCAGACCATATAGCTACAAACCGTTTAGGCCTGTATGGTACAGTCCAAGCTTTCCTCCTTTTAAAGAGTAAACACAGCAGTCATTGCCTGGAGAGCTTGTGCTCTTTTTAAGATTTCTGTTTCATTCTCAGGTTGCTCACAGGCAGGAAGATTCACACAGAAAAAGAAGCTTTAGAGGTAAGTAGGCAAGGGGTGAGATGTGTAAAGTCTCTTTCTGTATTCCTCCCTGCGATTCTGCAGTTTGCCATTTATCTTTAACCTTGAAGTCACTTTAGCCTCTATCCTTTCTCTCCATTTATCATTAAAGCTTGTGCACAAAACACTTTCTAGTGTCAGACTTCTGAAGAAACTTCCCAGAAGAGCTACAGATAAAGGCATTACAGTGCTAATGGGTTGGTCTCCGTGAGCTTGTTTTCCTGCAGTGCAAGAAGGGTAGCTGCAGCACGCATGGCAAGTAACCACACGCTGTCAGCGCTGTGGAAATGGACTGGTTGGGGTGAAAACCCCGGGTGACCTTGGGCGTTAGAAACCTGCATGAGTCGCTCCCTCTGCTGTCCGCCTGGGAGTCGTGCAACAGCAATGCCGAGCCTTAGGACTGCCGTTTCTCCTTCTCCCATACAGACTGCTTGCAAGGAAGAGAGCTTGCTAGAAAACTCTTACACGCTTTGATTGAATACGCTCTGAATCTATTCCTGACAGTGGTTGCTGGTGCTCTCTTACCCTTCCTTAAATTGACTCAAAGCGGGTGAGACCTGGGTTGCAAAAGGATAGACTGCATAGATGAGAAACGGGAGTGGGAGTGACGGCCTTCAGTTACTTCCTGGTGAAAGATGGGCAAACCCACAGCATTGATAGCTGCTGTCATCGCCACACAGAGATGATAGATGGTCTGCAAATATACTGCATTAAGGTGTAAGGATTTACCCTTTTATTCAAACTGAAGAAAATTAAAAGCTGCCGGGCTTGGTGATGAAGGACAAAATAGGAATATGGTTTTATTGGTGTCTTGAGAAGGGTTGAGCTCCTTGTTTTGTTGACTAGTCAAGTGCTTTCATAATGGGCTGATGTTATTTCTTCCAATTTGGTTTTGAACTTCAAAAGAACACAAAATCTTTGTGCAGTGGCACCCTGGAGAGTAGCTGGGATCTGTCAGCCCAAATGTTTGTTGTTCTTTTCCTCCAGCGACGTCAAGCAACATGGGCTGATTACCATCTCTTCACAGCAGGAAGCAGCTCCAAAGATCTCAGCTCTTTTAATCCCCCCCCAAAGTTTTACATTACGCCACTGGGTTGAGCAAGGGTGATGAACTGTGCTTCATGCCATTAGCTGAGCAGCCGTTAGTTCTAGGTTTGCATATTTCAGCTGCAAACACAAGTTGCATGTGATTAAACAATTTTACAAGTTTTATGACAGTCCGTCTGATTCATGTGATCGCTCTTACTTGTGATGGGTTTTTAAAAATCAATTCAACAGAGATGGAATTATACTTAGGAATGGAGACATTTTTAAAACAGTTGCTTGCAGGATATTATATTTTAATCTGTCTGTCTCCCCAGCTGAATGTCATATATAGGTCTATCCTTCTGAGTCATAATCTATGCTGGAATTTGTCTCCTTTGAAGCTGGTAGGAATTCTGGCATCAATTTCCATGGTGACATGCTTTCATTCATTTCTTTAGCAAGACTAGTGACGACAAAATAGTCTTCGAACATAAAATTAAATATGATGTAGTATTAATGTAGAAGGGGCTAAGTCCTACAACTAGAAATACTGGTGATTAGATTCTTGTTGAATTGTGTCCAAGAAATGAAATTGAGTTTAATGTTACTTCACAGGTTGATTATGTTAGCATATGCTGGTAGATTTACTGCTTCTTTAAAACCCAACCAATGTCTGTGCAAAGAGGTCCGGCAGTTGAAGAAATTTGGAGGCTTAAACGAGAAAAAAAAGCAATAGAGAATTTAAAAATAGCAGAAATAAATCCTTATCACCCAACTTCTCATGAGTCATAGCTAGCCTGAGAGGATTTTTAGCTAAATTCTTCTGAAAGAATTAGTATTTTATCTGTGTTTTATCCTAACCTTGTTACTGAAGTCTTTCTTTCTTCTGGTAAATCAGAATCACTCTGTAGCAACCAATTGTGATGTCAGAAGTAGAGTGTTAGAGAGTTTAAGCGAGGAACACACAGAGTGGAAATACACCTGCAAAGGTATATAATTTACAGGTGTAATCTGAGGTTTGAAACAGAATGAGAAAAGAAGACTGGGACAGGCACACTTGTGTTTCTGATTTAGCTCTTTAGCTCTTCATTTTTGCTAACTCTTAAAGTAGGAGCTAAGTAAGGCTTAATGACCTGGAGTTATTGGCTTTCTAGCAAGTGCTTCAGGATATCAGCTCAGGTGCATATGTCTGCATATTTGTTCTCTTATTCTTTTGATAATATGTTCTGAAAACATGATGCAGACAAAAATTTTGATCACAGTTAAAACAAAATATTATTTTCAGAGCAGCGTCCAAAGATAATAAAAACAGAGATGCTTGTATATTTTAACAAGAGTGTACATGTAAATACGGATGTTTTGATTCCCCTATTTCAGGTGAATTCTTTGAGTGGGAACTGTTTTTTGTCTTTACAAAAGATGCCAAAATAAGATGCTTGTCAGAAATCTTCAGTACTATGAATGATGCCAGGGTTAATCAACACACATTGCAGTCACTGATTCCTGCCTTTTTGTACATGAAAAGGTAATGGATATGCTCCACGCCATGGGACCAGAGACTGTAGTGATCACAAGCTCAGATCTACAGGGGCCTCTAGGAAACGACTACCTAATTGCTCTGGGAAGCCACAGAAAAAGTAAGCCCTGAACTAATTTGTTAAACTGTGCTTTCTATTAACCTGTTGTGTGCCTTCAGTTGCTTTTTAAAGTAGTTTCATCAGACCCATCTGTAGTGCATGGAAGGAGTTTAGATCTGTAAGTGAACTTCTCCTACAGTGATACCAGAGAGCGGTAAGAATGGGGCTGCTCCATGAGGGAAGACAAGCTGGAAGGTGAGTGTGATCATAGCACAGGCAGAGAGAGCACTGCCCTCACCAGGAGCGCATAGGACAGGGGTGGTGACAGCAGACAGGTCCCATTGACAGTCCAGTGATCACCAGAGAAAGGCGAGATGAGTGACGCCCAGGATTAATCTGGATTATCCAATCAGTAAATCGGGACAGCAGGGCTATACACAGGTACACCGACAACATAGCTCAGGCAAGGATGCTTGTGCCCAGGTCTGAGCTGCTGTGCAGCTTCTGGGCAGGTGGGCAGAGGGTGCATGGGTGGAGGATGTCCTAGGTGAGGTTGATCACGACTGTTAAAGCCCCTAGTAGTGGCGCTGACAAGTAGTAGTGGTATAAAACAGGAACTTTGAAAGTTTTGAATGCTTTTATGAAAAGTTACACTGTCCTGTTAGCAGATTGTTCCTCCCGATAGGTTGTAAAATGTCCTTCTGCTTCTTCTTTATATGCCCTTCTCTACTGTCACGAAGATTCACTCTGTGTTTGGAGTGTCGCAGGATGTTTTTACCTAAGAAGGGCATAGTTATGTGGGATGGTATAGGATCTCATTTTCTTGTTCATCTAAGGGATCTAAATGTGGGCATCACATTTTGAACTGCTGAGAGACCAAAAAAGTCTTGATATTTAAAACAGATTCCCCTAAGAATTCAGTTGGTGGGTCTTAGCACTCAGTACATGCCAGGTCTGGAATAAGTCTGGTCATTCTAATGGTGATTACAGTATGGCACATGGATCAGATATGCTCTGCTGATGTCTACAGCTGCTCTTGTGCCTCCATACAACCCAGAGGTACTCTGGATTATGGTTTGGGATGCCCTATCTAGGATTCAGCAGTCTCCATAAATATGCAGTTTCCTGAGCAAGCTGCTGTTGCTGTCTGAATGAAAACAGGTGGCTATCAATCCTCCATGAAAATGAAGGTGCTAGCCACCTGCTCCCTCTTAAGTGAAGTATGTACAGTATAGAAATTGTAGATGCTATCCCAATTTAGTAAAGTTTTGAAAGGTTGCACCTTTCAAAAGAGCTGGCACAAAGTTTACAAAAGTACTTAGCAACAAAGGAATTATAATCTGGTGACAACTTTTAAATTAATAGCAAAGGCTATTGTATTAATTGCTTCATCTGTTAACTTAACTGTCTATCTGTGTTGTAGCTAAAGCAGATGGTACCAACATGACACAAAGAATTCGAGTGGAGTCTCCTAAAGTGGATGCTGTCTTTGTTGGAACAGGAGACTTGTTTGCTGCTATGCTTTTGGCATGGACACATAAGCACCCGAACAATTTGAAGGTGTGGGAGAATTTATTAGTCTCTCTGCAAGTTTAGACTGTTTTTTTTTGTTGTTGTTGGTTTTTTGTTTTGTTTTGTTTTTGTTTTTTTTGTGTGGTTTTTTTTTTGTTGTTGTTTTTTTATTGCTTTATGACATTATTTAAAGACTTTTCTGGTTTAGCTCTTTTTCTTCACCTCAGAGGAAGAAAAGCAGAGTTTTCCTTACGCCAAAATGTTTTAGCTTGTACAGCTTTGGATGGTCACATTTCAGATACGTGGATTTTGTAATTTTACCAAACAAGATATTCTTCTCTCTAGAGAGAGTGAAACAACATGCATGTTTGTAATTACATTTTTTTACCCTCACTTCATAATAATCACAGAAATTCATTTGTCAGATCTATTTTTCTTATTCTTTCCTTTAAGCACATAGAGTCCTTGGTATGGGTGTATGGTGTCTAATACCTGTTTCACAATAACTAAGAGAGTCTCAAGTTTTTTTTCCCAAACTCTACATTAAATAGTTGTCTTCCTGTTTGCATCCTGTCAGTCATACTTGCCTCTTAATAGCAGTGGTTTTGAAATAACGATATTAAACTAGGCAGCTGAAATTTTACTAAGTCTGTCTATATTATGTTAATGCAGGTGGCATGTGAAAAGACTGTGTCAGCCATGCAACATGTTCTGCAGAGGACCATTAAGAGTGCAAAAGGTAATTCATTCAAACCTTGTTCTCTTGTTCTGTCTGGATTTGCATCAGAAGAAACATTCAGAGGGTGTTCTGGGTTTCCTGACTAGAAGCAACCAGAGAATTTGCAGAATGAGAGTTTGGTAGTCTTGTCAGTGCATGCTCCTTGCTGTGTCCTCCAGCCTGTTTTTGACAGCAGGTGACTGAAGATGTCGCTGTTCAGCCTGTAGTGGGACTGCAGCCATGCTTGGCTGCTTTGGGAAAGAGTGGCAGAACTTGAGGAAATACCGAGTTTGACTTGCACAAGAGCATCTGTTTTCAGTGTAGCTCGCTCACTTTCCCTTTGAGTGCATGTGTTTAGTATTGAGAGGGGTTTATCAACCAATAATAAACTACCCGTTTGCTGTGTTGGCCACGTGAGGAGCAATTTTTTTCAGCTTCTCTCCCCTTGGAGTTCCCATGTCTTTCAGTTCCTGAGGAGATCCAGATGGGATCTGTGGGTTTTCAGAGCATGTCTATGTCCCTTTCTAGTAACAGCAGAGCCGTGTTTCTTTCCTGGAGAGAGGTGCAGAACAGCAGTGATAAGAAATCCCATTGCTGACCTGGATCTTTCATCTTGGAAGCCTTTAGCAGGGGGTAGTAAGGGAGACTGAGGAGGGGAGGAGGGGAGAAAAAACAGTGGGGTAGCAGAACAATATAACTTGTTTCTTTTTATACTGCTGATTTTAATGACATTCTGATGTCATCTTTCTAGCACAAGCTGGAGAAGGAAACAAACCAAACTCAGCCCAGCTGGAACTGAGAATGGTCCAAAGCAAAAAGGACATAGAAAACCCAGAGATCATAGTGAAAGCCACCGTGTTATAAAGGCTGTATGTCTCCAATAACGCACAATGTGTTGATGTCCTCATTTCTTTCCTGTAAATTGTAATATTTGCCTTAGATCTGTGACAGAAACCTGACTCTCATGAAATAGTGCCCAGCATAGACAGATATCCACTCTCAAACATATGTGCTGGCCTTGCTCAGTTTTAAAAACAAAACAGTTAGTGTGCATCGAAGCATATTACCAGATATCAAAATGGCTGTCAAATTCACTTAGTCTGTGTAATTACCCAGGGCAAGAGAGTACAATGTTCCTGCCTTGCCAAAGACTTTAGATGTGAATTTGCTAATGGAATGCTTGACTGACTGGAAATTATATTTCAAGATGGCATCTAATGCCAATGGAGCTGGCTCCATGCTCCCTTTTCCTGGAGATATTTGATTACCTTCTCTGGTATTCAGTATCTCAGCTGCTATGAAACTAAGCAGGGTTAAAACTACACACAAAGTTCTAGTTGTGTGTAGGAGTACTTTGAAGATGTTTGGTGTTTAAGTTCTTTGAAGTGACCTTGAGGTGTCATTCATGTTACTGATAACTGCTCCTGTTTCTTGTCTATGAACAGCTGCACAGTTTCAGTTTTTGCAGGTACTGGCTGCTTATTTCTAATATCTGTGGGTGCCCACATGATTTTCTTCCTAAAGCTGCTCCAGAAACATCTTCATTAATAAGATAATATCTTTGTTCAGTAGCACTGATTAGAAGTTTGTAGTTCTACCTCCAAGGCCAGGTTTGATTCTTTGTTTGGTTTTTAACTAAGGACAAACATTCTGTAAGGACAAGAGAAAGCAGCTCTTACCCTGAAAGCTGGCTACTCTAGTTTGTTCTTCATGGGTGGATTTATTTACAAACTATGTGGGGTACTTCCACTTAACACTAGTGAACATTATTGGCAGGCTTATCAATGAAGCAATGTGGTAAGAGTAATATTTTTAGTTTAGTAAGGTTTAGTAAGTTACATATGTTTACCAAATGCAGTGAAACATACAAAATGAATTTGTTCTTAATGTTAAGTCCCTGCAGCCTACGCTGATTAGAGATGACAGAAACGCGGTATTATTAACGCATCTTTATTTCAAAATTCTGCTTCATAAGGCTTCAAAATGGATTTCTTAATAATTTCAGCGTCTTATACATCACAGCCACATATTATACCAGTAGGACAGATATGCTGACAGCTGCGACCACTCACACTTCTTATGATTTCTGTATGGGACTGAGGTTCTTGCTTCTCCCAAGATGAGCTCTAGTGTCTTGTTAAATCCAGATTCAGTTGATGAGCTTCATTTGTCTCAGACTGCATAGGGAGATTAAAATTGCATTTCTGCTTGCAGTGACACGAAGCAGATTTGCATTAGAGGAAAGGGATGAGTTTTTCTCAATTGCCTGAGTATGCTCAGGAAAGTCACTCTCAGGTATCTCCCAGATACCTTTCCTGCATCTTCCTAATCACACCTGCCTAACTGATAGTGCCACTTGCATAGCTTGGGAGTCCCCAGAAGAGCTGGTTTGGAGATTGCTTTGACCACTGAGGTCTTCACTTATCTGACCATTTTTGTGGATTTTTTGCCATTGTAAAAGTTAATTGGTTTCACCTAGTAGAAGAGGAATTTATCCTTAAAGTAAATTTTTAGCTGAATAGATTTTTTTCATAGAGTAAGATTTCATAACAGTACATTTCTGAAATCCCTGATTTTCAGTATTTCTGAAGCAAATGAAATTTAAGAGGTGAACACATTTTGCAGTAAATGTAAGAAGCAAACTTCAGGCTTTCATTCCCAACAACTACTAATAATTTCATTTCCTCTTATGCATTTGGCATTAGAAATGGAAAAAAAAAAAAAAAAAACCAAACAACTAATATGACTTGAATTTTAAGGGGAAAAAAAACCCACAGAAATGACCTACAAAACATGACTCTACTGCCATGGTTTTTAGTAACCACTGCCATGAAATAACTTTCTAGCAATAATAATTTTGGTGACGTGAACAGTTGCTAAAATTAGCAGTCAGTAAGAGATGAGCTCACGGCTGACAGCCAACATGTAAAAAGACATGAACTATCTTAACAGTGTGTATAAATGTCTGATGGGAAGCAGTGAAGAACAAGGAGCCAGGCTTTTCTCAGTGGTGCCCGACAAGGGGATAACAGGCAACGGGCACAAACTGAAATACAGGAAATTCCATTTAAACATTAAAACAATATAATTCACTGTGAGGGTACAGGTTGCCCAGAGGCGTTCTGGAGTCTCCATCCTTGGAGATATTCAAAACCTTACTGGGCATGGCCCTGAGCAACCCACTGTACTTGACCCTGCTTGCGCAGTGGGGTTGGACTAGATGATCTCCAGAGGTCCCTTCCAACCTCAGCCATTCTGTGAAGTACAATGAATTGCCTTTCTTTGCAAGAAAGAAATCTACAAATTGATGTAAATATTTTTTTTTTTTTAATTCCAGAGGCACAAACTTCCAGATAGGCTAGGAAATAGATCAATATTAATAATTTGTCCCCTCTTTAGATAAGCTGCTTTCTGCTTGGACAGATGTGCCAGGAATATAATTGCCTTTTTTGAGATACTTGCTTTCAGCAAAGACAGTTAAATACTGTAGCTGGTGATGCATTTCAACAGTTGAACACAAAAGGATTTAACTGTTTCTGGCGTTGATTAAAGAAGTATTGCATGCCATATTCCAAACATAACTATGAGTTTGTTTATCTTTTAAAATTAGACTATTTCATGTGGACGTGTATAATCTCTACCATCCTCTTGGGAAGAAAAGATCAACATACTGAACTTCCCTGCCTGTATATATCATGGTTGGCTTTGTGGCATTATGCTTGATACCCTCACCCAGCTGAATCCAGTTTTGCAGCTCCTATGGGTAACATTCAAAAATCTTCAGATGGCCAAGCTTTGGGACCTCTTCTGTGTCCCTCAGACTAGCAAGAATTAGATGAACCCCAGGAGCAGTTCACATGCAGTAAATGACATTTGATGTCTGCAGTCCCGTGGCTCCAGCACAGATCTTACCTGGGTCTGGAAGTGGCTCCTGGTGTGCTCTCTCCTACAGCCAGCGCCGTGGCTCGCCCTGCACCCCCTGCACCAGCATTTAGCTTCGTTGCCAGTCACGTAACACGGCCTGGGCTGGGAGCTGCACGGGGCCAAAGTGAGAGCCGTGTGTCACTGTCCCTGCACTAGTGCAGTGCAAAATCGAGGTTCTTCAGTTCTTCACATTGGGGGATCAGCAGGAGGGAGAAGCTCAAAATTGGCCTTTTAAATTTTTCTTAAGCCACAACAGGTATGCACTGTCAAAATTTGCTGTCAGAGAAGCCCTACCTGTTGCAAGCATGTACTACAGAAAAGCGCTTTTAGCAAGTGTGAGACAGCACAATTTTTTTTGCCTCTAAAAAAAAAAATAGACTTTCACGAGGGAATTGAGAGAAAGGCAGGGGCTGGTTTTCTCTTGAAATAAAAAAGCTTGGAATTTAGAAAATTTAAATCTGCCTTGCAAACAAGGCTTTATCTGTAAACCATAATGAATGGTGATCTTGCCATAAAAGAGGAAGTGGTATGTTTGGAGCAGCTTATACCTGTCAGGTGTTATCTTTTCTCACTGCTTCAAAGAATGAATTAGTTCAGTAATTCACACCTTCCTTGGAATCTGCGACATATCCATGTTAAAAAAAAAAAAAAAATTATACTAATGTGTTCAATTTGCAAAAGTTCATATTTTGCAGTAGCTGGGTTCTGTAGCAACGGGCTGCTAGCTTCTTCTGCTTAAGTCCCTGGGAGTTGCTCCTGTGATACCTGTTTTAAACTCCCACTGACCTTACCTAAATTAGGTCAGGTTTATGTCTTCAGTGAAGAATTGGGTTTAACATCTCTTGCCAGGAACAAACATCAGAAATTATCTGTAAATATATTCTGTAGCTAACATTTTGTAGTCACAACAGGCTAACATTTTTAAATGTCAAGGTATACATACTTGGGTGCATTTTCATTTGTTCCGAGTTACACAGCGCTCTTTCATAATGTTTGCAGACCCAAATTCAAAGACTCGGCACAGTCCTGCCCAGTCTTCTATTCCCTCCCCTCCTCCTGCATATAATATCTGTGTCTCTTTCTGAGTTCCTACTGTCTTTCTGGTGCAGCTGGAAAGTGTCTCAGTGTCAAGACAGCTGACCACTACTTAAGGGCTTGGAGGAGATTTATCAGGCTTGTCTGATCCACTTGCAGATCCTTAGGTAAAGAAAAATGGTTAGTCTAAACTAGTTTAGGTCCCAGCTGATTACAGAAGAACAAGCACTTCAGCCCAGAGAGTGGAGTCAATAACTAATGGATAATCTTCCACGACCGTCCTGACGGCGTGAAGGGTGTCGGTAACCCACCAGTCCAGCATTCCCCGGTGGGGACCGCGGGCGTCCCCGCCGCGCGTACTCCCGTGCGCGCGTGGCGCTGGAGGCGAAGGGCTGCTTCTAGGGCAGAAGTACGTGTACGCACGGAAGCGGTGAGTACTTCGTGCTTGTGGCCAGTCAACGTCCCCACCATCCTTTCTTGTCGCTTACTGGAAGTAATTTGTGTTGGATACCTTTTTTTCTGGAACGAACTTTGTAGTGTGTGTGGTCAGCCATTTTGATTACTGCAAGCGCACTCATTTGCAGAGCCATCGTGCTGGAGAGACCAAAAGTTGTTTACAAACAAATCTACTCTATTCTGGGCCCGGATCAGTCTCTACATGCTTAAAATTCCCGTGTACCTATTTGGGAGACATGCATAAAGATATTGTGCTAATATCAATTCACACTCGATATAAACATTTAAGAAATCTGCAGTATGAATTGTTAACATTAATGTTTGTTTGCTGGTTTTTATCATAAGTGGGAGAAATCTATAATCAATGTGTTGTACAAAAGAATCGGAGGACCAAGGTTTCCAGCTACTTATACTGCCTTTTTGAGTATCTTAAACTGTGTCTTGATTGGATGGTGTTAATTTGTTGTCTGAGACTGTTATGGTGACTGTACTGATTTATTTCATTTTAAATATGTGGCAAGGAAGATTGTAATAAAAGCATCTACATTTAATATACCGTGCACATACAAATTCTTAGATCCGATTTTTGAATATGTTAATCATTTCAGAATTAAACAGAACAAATCCTGTTTGATAGTCTTGCTGAATAAAGTGGATGTAATTAAAGGTTTCCTTAGTTATATCCTAGAATAGAGCAAGGGTAGTTAATCGAAGAGCGCATATTTGTGCGCTTTAATCATTGTAAGATAGGAGGTATGTGGAAGTGAGTAACATCCTTGTTGTCTTTTATTTTTTTTTCTTTTTTAAGAAGTCTTATGGGAAGACAACTGTTGGCATTCTGCACCACTGCTCTTGTGTGCCTCTTCCTTGCATGCGTAGGATCTCTCTGTGTTGTGCTCTTTATTCCTGCGTATGAAGTGAGAAGAGGGACTTGCAATAAGAACTGCAACTCATTTTGAGGTCTGTTCCTTGTGCAGCATTTAGCTGCACTCCCCTTCACAGAATTTTTATCTCATTGCGTAGGTTAGAGCACACAAGACTATACAGTGGGAAACAATTGTTCCTGTGTGTCAGAACAAGTGCTCCTGTCAGCACACTACAGCATCTCTGCTACGGCAGGGTTTTGCAAGAGGAAGAGAGCAGGTATCCAGTTTAATGAGAGCACTGGCTATTGGAGAAGGTGCTACTTCATTATGCTTATGCCCACTAGAGATGTCTGGCTTGTATTTATACTAATGAAAACCACCTCTCCTGAGTAAAGGTCCTTGCCCTCTTAAAGAGTACTTTTAGAAGCTGAGACACAAGTGTTACAAATGTTGGTCACTCTGAAAACAAAATATTTCTTCATAAAGGGAAACATAACCCCTTCTTTTACATCCCATTGCAGCCTTATTGGGTCATTGACTAGTCATTCAGCACCTATTAGAATCACAGGATGAGGTTATTCAGAGCTGTTCTTCATGAAAGACGTTTATTTCTGGTAAATGAGAGCCTACTGCTTGAACCAGTTTTGTAGCTTGCTAAAACACGTCCATTAAAGACGCATCTCAACCATGGAAACTAAGCTTTGAGATGTTCAATCACAGCCCCGAAAATAGCTCTTCTCTTTTAAATAAACGAGTAAGACAGCAACTTTGTACATGCATGCAGGAGCAGATTTAAGGTAAATCTGTGAGGTTCAATCAGAAACTGGAGGAGCGTGCCCTAAGCGCCCGGCGAAGGGCGTTGAATGCAGAATGCAAGGGAGCTGCTGTGGTCAGCACGCTTTTTCAGGAGAGCCCAAGCTGGGTCTCACATTTTCCAGAAGGAAGGAATGCGATTTGGCTTTCAACAGCCGAGGAAAGCTCCTGCCTGCTTCACCAGGAACCCAGTGCCGGGTGACCAGTGCCACCAGCCACCAGTTTGGTGCTTTCACTGCTCCAGCAGCAATGGATCTGGAGGCAAATGGGGTGCTCCCAAGTATGGTCCTAAATAAGCACGCATTCTGACTCAGTGCCTCCACAGTGCAAATCATAGTAATAAATCCACAATTTATAGAGCAGTGAATAAGGCAGCACATTGTTCAGATAGAGAAAACCAGCAATATGAGAAGGCTGTGCCATATGTTACCACTGAAATCACATGTACTCCTTACCTATTGCCCTTGTGGTTGCATTGCTATTTAGAAAAATCTGTGTGTAGAAGAGTGTAATATATGTCCTCTGTACGTGTGTGTGTGTATGCTGAAGCTTTATTTGCAATGTGGTGGGGGTGGGAAACAGAATTTGGGGGCTGGCTGTGTAGGCCTTCAGGATGTGAGCAGAAGGTCTTAAAGAATTATATTTTTATAGATTGTGCAGAAGCTTTGGGTCACAGCCACACATGGCCTTTTCTTCCCGAAAAGTAAAATGGTTTGGAAAGAGCGTCAGGTGGCTGTAATATAGCAGGGATAGTACAACCCCACCAGCCCTGGACAAACTGAATCACTTAATAAAAGATGCCTTTTTAAGTAATATTTTTTTAGTGCTGAATTGTTAAACAAAGAAATATTTATGAGCAAACTTTCTATGTACTTAAAGTTTGTGTGGTGCTTTGTACTGACGAGGTGGACCTGTTATATGTTTACACATCCTAATGATTGTCCTCGAGGCATATGTAGTAATTCAATGACTTTCATGCCAGAAAAACAATGTAGTTCTGTGTAATAGCAAACTAATTAATTTCTGATGACATTGTAGGCTTTTGTAGTGTTTGTGTATTTTTCTGGTTGGTGGTTACCAGTTGTATTCTTTCTGCAGTAAGGCTTATACGCTTGATTGTAGAGAGAGGCAATAGGATGGTAGATACCATTGTTTAAAAAAGAAAACCCTAAATATTGCGACCTTATCCGTTATAAAATCAGGTAAGTTGTGGCATAAGCCTGAAATTTAGATTTTGCATTGGAATAAAATAAATATTACATCCAAGGCAAGTTAAAAATAGGTGGGGCATTTGTTTATTTAATTAAATAAGTCCGGGGGATGTTACAAGAGCTTAATGGCAACATCTAAACAGACAAGCCAAGAGACTGGAACAAAACTAACTCAGTCAAACTTTATGAACCTGGCCAAGCTAACTCTGTAGCTTGTGCTGAATGCATGCAACAGATAGATGAGTAGGCTAAATGGCAGAAAGTAAAGATTTTTTTCCCTGTAGTTTGTTAGTTGTAATAATGTGAAGAATTTTAGTAGGGTGATCTGAATTTAAATTCATGAATATATTAGCTTTCAGAAGAGTTGAGTTACCAGCAAAATCCCATTCAGTCAAAAGGCAAGCTGTTAGCATGTCTGAAAATCAGATCATCATTTTTTCATCTTGCTATACTTACTTGAGGCTTTGTTTCTTAGGGCTGGGAAACCAGGGCTAAAACACAACCGTCCATGTATTTTGTTTGTTTGTTTTGGTTGTCGTTTGGGGGTTCTCTAGAAAGTGCAAGGGTCTGCAACATAAATCAGTTTGCAGAATACGGCCCGCTGCTGAATGTTGTGCTCCTACCACAGCAATCAGCAATCTGGAAAAACTGAGCATCATTTATTCTGTCTCTTTTAAGAAACATGGCAGGATCGTCATCACACTTCCGAATAAATCAGTACTGCAAAAAGTAGAGGAGGATTTATCAGAAGTGTTTCTCTCAAGAGTTCCCAAGTTCTGGATATGCTAAAAGAGAAGTACTTCTGCTTTGCTGAGTTAGCAAGAAAAATATCACCGAGGTTAATAATGCATTGTCGAGGAGAGAGGCTATGGAAGGGAACAGCTATGCCTTGCATGCTTCGCTGTGCCTGGCTTCTCCCCTGGGGATCTGTGGGTGCAATATACCCGTGGTGGTGGCAGTGACTGTTCTGCTTGCACCCTCCCTTGGGGGAAATGCGGAGGAGTTATTCTGAGCAAGTAGGAGATGAGGTCTCCGTGAAGTTGTTGGGCTGTTCATTTCGAAGTGCTGTACCAAAGCTCTGGTTTAGCACAGCTCTGCGTGCGCTTTAAGGGCGTGATGAACAGCACGCTGCTTTCCTGGCTGCGGTGTAAGGCGGCAGAGTATTCCTGGTTTAGGAACCTAGTTTAGCCATGCAATTTCCCTCGACTTCATCTGTAGGCCAGGGAGAACAAGGGACTCTAAAAGCGAATTATTCAGATGATTTGGTCTAGGCTCTTGTTCTTTGGAAGAGAAAGGTAGAGAATTATCAGCTGCTATGGTAGATCTAACTTGTCCAGCTCAGCTACACCGTAAAACTGCACCCTAACCTTCCTCTGCCATCACTTGTGCTGGCCCTGGTACTTGCCTGTCCCCATAACGAGCGAAGTGAAAGAGCCAAAGCCCCTGAAGTTTTCATCTCCTTTAGTTCCCGTAACCTCCTCATCCCAGGAACAGGGAAGCAGCCGTGCTGCTGCTAGGGCGGGGTTGGAAAGATGCAGCTGGACAAAATGGGCGAGAATGGGGTTGCCTCTTTTCCTGGTAGTGAGATGCTGGGTAAGCAGCACCTAATTGCAAAGCTGCACTGTTTGTGGTAAAGCAAAGAAGCCTTTGTCAGCTCTCAGTTCTTGAAAGAAGAGCTGCAGAGTTAGTAATCCAAGTTTGGCATTAATCCAGCCCATCCCCTGTATTGCAAAAACATTATAGTACTAAAAGATTTTGTGTGACTATTCTTAATGATCTATGTGATGCTTGTGCCTAGCAGAGTAGAAAATAGCGTAGAATAAAGCGGTTACCTAACTAGGAAACAAAGTATGAAGACCCAGCTGGAGAAAGTTTCAACTCGGCTTTCACAGCACTTGCATGGTGTCAGAACTGTCCAAGTCTGGTTCTCTTCCTTCCCGTCCCCTCTAGGTAAGGAAGAAATCTTATAAATAAGTAAGTAAGTAAATAAATAAGTAAGGGAAGTTACCTGGGAATTTAAGTGGCATTAGTATTTATTTTTGCCTACAGATTTTTAAATCTTACCACACGAAAGGTCTCTAGTTCATAAGGGATTTCCAGCAGATGCCTTGCCAAGCGATGTGATGCAGCCCGTGACAGCTGGCTGGGGGCCTGTGACGCTGCTTGTGACCCCCCCGTGACAAACGGCGTTGGGATGCCACCGCCAGACGGGGGCTCCTGCCCTGCAGCCTGCGTTTAGTACAGCAGCACATGGGATCCCAAGCCCAGTACGTGCTCTGTGTGGACGCGTGCCTTGCTGGGGAAGGAAACCGCAGGGCTTGTTGCTGGAGGTGCGGTGATGGAAGGAAACGCGGGAGAATTTGGCACCTTCCAGTGATCTTGTTTGCTGTTAGTGATTGTTAGTGCAGTGTATGGCTTTCAGTGTTGTTTTCCGTCTGGAGAATGGGAGAGTGACAGCCTACGTGCCGTTTTAACATGCTTTTAGTTGGCTGAATGGGAAATACAAATCAAGATTGTTAGAAAGTGGAGGGGAGGGACAGCCAAGAATTTGCCTAAGATCTAAGCGAGTAGAGAAAATTTAAGATTTGTCTCTAATTCAGAAATAATTCAGTATTGACCGAATGAGTGCCATGTCTTCAAAAAGGATTAGCATCTGGAAGA